TTATGGTACTGGTGTTCTCATCTTGGCCACCATTTCAGTACGTTTTTTTTTTTTCATTTTCAAATTAGTTTTATGTGAATTTCGTGTTTTTCTTTTCTGTATATTTTATTTTGTACGAGTCGTTTTCATTGCAAAAAAAAAAAAAAAAACACTGGTGCTGTGCGGTAGAATGAACAAACTGTTCGACATTTGTTTCGATGGTAAATTGGTGTTGATATATGTCAGAGATTCAAATTCGCCATCATCCTCCTCTTCAAATAAAATACACGCGGAACACACACACACAGGATCCTGATAATTTGCTTTTTTTGCAACAGTTACAGTACAAAACCCATAAAAACGGGGGCCCCCGACACCCTTGCTAGCGCATGATTGCTGTTGGCATTTAGTACAACTCGAGCCACTTCTTGACTGCTTTCTTATCCCCTGGAGTACGAACACCCAACGAGCTTTAAATTTTTAAGAATTTTTGATAGCAAACTGAAAAAGTGGGACTCAAAGTGAAATATTCCTTCACTCAATGGAACCGGAGCCGTATATAGTTTTTCGAAAAAGTTGCCAAAAGCACTTCCAGCTTGCAAACCGACTTCAAAAATGCATGTTCGCATTGGTCATCTTCTTTACATTATTGCCTTTTTCACCGGTTTATAGTGAAAGTTATAGATGAGCTGCTGGCATATACTGTGCGAGCGTCAGATTCATCATATCCGAAAACATTATTTTGCTGCCGTTATGCGCCAAGATATGAGCTGGTTTGATGTACATGAATGCGGAGAGCTGACTACAAGAATGACTGAGTACGCTTCCGGAAAATAATTCTTCCTGCGGTTTTCACGCTATCACAAATTCCACTAGTCAGTGCCTCTTCTCTGGACTGTCTTGCGCGAAATATGGAGAGACGAAATTAGCTAACTTCTCATTTTAATTCACTAATTTTTTACTAAATAAATCAAAAACTGTGTATTTTTGTTTGAAGTGGAATTGATCGGATCAGAGATGGCATCGGTGATAAGATGGGCACTTTATTTA